GCGCGCGTCGCGCGCCTGGAGCGAGGGAGGCGGATTGGCGCCGATGGGCCTCCGATCGGCCGCGGCGGCGATGGGCCGGCTGCGCGCAGGAGTGGCCCTCTTCGGAGTGACCCTGGGTGCGGGCCCACAGGGGCCCCCCCCGCATTGCCCTGCGCGCCTGGATTCGGCCCCCCCCCGCGGGCCTCTGGAGCCGCGCACCAAGGGTCGCTTGTGCCAAGGGCCGCTCTTGCGTGCAGCCGAACGGGGCGGCGATGGTGCGTCGATGGCCCGCAGCTGGGGCGCTGCGCCGATGGGGCGCCGATGAGCACGATGTGCGTACCAATCCAACCAAGCCCAAAACGAAGGCCCCAGATCCCCCAAAAATCTCGTTGGGGCGCGTGCGGCCTCCAAGGTAATTCTCAATGTTTTGAGGTGCCCCCCCGCTGGAAAATTACAGGCCCCATCAGAGATTTCGGGTTGGGTGAGGGTAGCTTCGTAGGTAGTAAGATCGGGCGCCGACGGGGCCGCCGATGGCCGCCGAGCTGGCTGGCTTCCTGTATACTTCACTCTTTGTTTTCGACTGGGGATGCCGAAGTTCTTCTTCAGTTGGGCTTGGGGTTGGCCTGGGAGCCTGCCATCAGATTTGGCGGCCACTTTCCTGTTTTGGTCCGAACTCCACTTGGGTCGGCGTCTACAACCTGTTGCTACACTTGATGATCGAGAACATCGACCCATGATCCTGCAGGCGAAGTATGATTTTCAGGCACAGTTTGCTGACCGACCACCGCCATGGGACTTCGACAGAATCATGCGTTCGGTCGCGCAGGGCAAGGCCTGCACGGAGTCGATCGAGGCCATCTATTCGGTTGTTACCTCGATTCCCGAAGACGAGTGGATCAGCCTGTGCGCGCGGGCCACTTCCGATGAGGTGTGGAACTCGACTGTGAGCGTCATGACGGCCAAGGCGGTGGACACTTTCACAAACAAATCAGACTTGGAGACGGAATTAGCTTCGCTGGAAAATGAGATGTCGGCCTTACTGAAAGCAAGGAAGGAGTTCAGAGGCAAGCGCATTGGCTGGTCTGCCAGATCGGATACTCATGTTACTCAGGCTACTCGCCAAACTGGCCACCTGCCCCAGGCCCCCGCCCTGGCGCCTGGCCCTGTCCTCGACCTGGTTCGGCCCGCGGACCTTCTGCCCCCCTGCCCTGCGCTGCCTGGGGCGAGGGTCTCGGAACCACCTGTTCCTCCCAGCGGGGAGGCCTGTCTGGGGCAGCGCTTGGAGATAGAAGTACAGCTTACTCGCGCGACCGTTCGCGTCCGACGCCTCTCGAAGCTAATCAACAATAAGCGTGGGGCATCCCTGACATTGGAATTGAATAGCGCATGGAAGTCGCACGACCACTACAACGTGCAGAGGATTATTCGGCAATTGTTTACATGTGATGCAGGCCCTAGGCTCAGAAAGGACTTTGTGCTGAAGTCCGAGAACAGTGAAGCTCAAGAGATACCTGAGTTTCTGTGTCGGCCTGCTACCGAGGGTGGCCTCGGCGCCGTTCAGTGCGACTTGCAGAAGGAGCTGTTGGAACGATCCGACAGGCCACACACGGACGGTTGGGATGTGACTGAGGAGGTTCGCTACAATGCCATGCGGATCGCGAGCATGGCGGACGCCAGAAATGACTTGGTCGGTCTCGTGAGGCAGGTGAGGCGCGCTCCGAAGAGACGGGCCACGCCTTCCTGGTCTCTCCCATCGGAGCTTTGGCTCCTGTTACTTGATGAAGAGTGCCGGGAACAATTTCGAGGCGGTTGTCTGGGGGCTGAGTTTCGTCCCGCGACATCGACGGCATTCACTGAGATATTCTTAGACGTACTAGCTTGCTTTCGCCGAACGGCGGCCACTCCTTTAATTATTGACGTGTCTTCTTGCTGTGGTTTGGATAAGCACAACGGAAAACTGAGCGCCGAAAGTCAACGGTGGGTTCATTTGTTCTGCCCGCTGGGCAAGGCTTGGAACTTGCACTGATGGGTCAGAGCCCGGCGGCAGCGCGACGCCTTGCTTTGCCATGTGCGCGCCACGTATTTGCATATATATATATATATATATATATATATATATATATATGTAAGTGCTCGCACGTGAATCATCTAGGCAAGCCCGACCGCCGCTAAGCGGCACAACGCTTCCGTAGTCTTCTCTGGGCTCAAGCGGGGCCCCAGGTGGCATGGATTTCGGGCTAAACCTTTTCTACGAGGTTGTTCGATCGTTGGGCACCGCCGCCATAGTCTCGGCGGGCAGCTGCCCAGCGGTGCCCGCGTGCCCCGCCTGCCCGCCGTGCCCGGCGGTGCCCGCGTGCCCAGGCGCGCCACCGCTCCCCGAGCCGACGTGCGGGGTGAGCGACCCCGAGGTGCTGGCGGGCAACAGCCGCCTGTGGGCCTGGACGGTGCTGCTGCTCGCGGCCAGCTCGACGTTCGTCGCCCTCGGCTTCGCGCGCAATGGCGGCCGCAGCCCCGGGGGGGCCGCTGCCCCTGCAGGCGGCGCCAGGGCTGGGAGTGGCGGCGCAGGCGGTCCAGGCGGCGGTGGCCTGGGCCTTCGTATGGTACGCGACGCCGGAGGCCCTGTGGCACCAGAGGCTGCTGCTCGGCGTGCTGGCGTCATCGGCGACTTGGTTCCTCATTGTCACGCCAGATGGACAAGTATATGATGAAGAGTATGGACCTGCCAATGCGGACGTGGTGGGGATCCGCTTCGCGACGCAGCGGTGGCCACCTCCGCCCGGCGTGACGAGGGCGATGTGCTACAGGTTCGCCGCCGCTCCGGCGGCGGCTCAGATCGCCCAGTGGACGGGTGAGGCGACCGCCCACGCCATGGCGCTGCAGACTACGGTGGCGCCGCTCCCCGCGCTGGTGCACGGCAGCGCGACGCCGCCGGGGGTACCAGCCGCCGCGCCTGCTCCTGGACCGCCCGCGCCTGGCGCGGCGGCCGCCGCGGGTGCTGCACCCGCGCCCGCTCAGGGGGGAGCAGGCAGCTGGCTGGCGGTCGAGACGCGGGCTGGGCTTCGTCGCGGTGATGCGGTGGCCCTCTTGCCGCAGGCCATTGTGCAGGGCACGCGTGCTATGCAAGAACAGGGGGTGCCGCCGCAGTGGGTGCTGCTCGCCTTCGTGCCGCAGGGCGGCGAGATCGAGTTCGCGGGGGCGGAGGCGGTAGGCGACGCTCGGCTGATGACCGTGACGACCATCGGTGGGCAGAGAGTGAAGGCGGTGTTCCGAGCGGCAGTGGATGCCGTGCAGGAGGTGAACTTCGTGGACTTCCCGGTGCCAGGCCCTCGCACGACGTTATGGTGCCTGAAGTTCATCAATCGCCGCAACGGAGGTGCTATTGACTGGCACCGCTTCTGGGAGCACACGCACGGCCTCAAGGCCGAGTTCTGGGGCGTCGGTGAGCATTTCATGATCATGCAAGCCGTGGAGTTAGCCCTCACGTACGACGCCTTGGACGTCGTGAACCTGGGGGCTTTCGAGCTGATGATCAGGAAGGCCCAACTCATCGAGTACAGCTACTCCGAGATGGGCGGCGGCGGGAGGTCCAGCGACGGCGCCGAGGCCGACGGCAAGGAGAAGAAGGACAAGCAGGGCAAGGGCCGTGGCGGCCTCATGCGAGTGGGGCTCTACGACGAGTCCCAGATCTTCATGGGGGGCCACAAGGAGTTCGGGGACATCATGGTGGCCCCCGACCTCCTGGACTACGTGTCGAAGGAGGTGGAACGCGACGCCAGCGTGCTCAAGCAGGTTCGCAAGGCCCGCGAGGAGCGGGCCGCGGCGGGCCGTTAGCCCTACGAGAAGGCCGCCCGATCAGGCCTCCTGCCTGGTCGGGCTCCCGGCGAGGGGACTCTCGTTCCCTCGCCCATGCGGGCGGCTGCCGCGTCCTCGGACATGAAGGCTGCCCACAGTTTTGGACTGCCAGCCGCTGACGGTCGACAGCGCGACCTGCTCCCGCTGCCTGATGTGTTTCAGGGGCCATCCAGTTTTTCGGCGTCGACACGACCGAGTCTGTCACGACGCTCACGCCAGCGCCTCCATGCGCATCAGCACGAGTTGAAGTGGGCGAGCGACATGGTGGAGTCGCTCAACGAGATGAGTGCTGGGCCGCAGCACCGCGGCGCGCCGGGGGCGCAGGCCACCGAGGGCCAGCAGATGGTGCTCGACCGCCTTCTTTCGTGTGCTCAGGAAGTGGGTCGCCCCCCTCCTGGGCTTTCAGGCCAGGAAGCCTTGCGAGAGCTTCTGGCCCGCCGGGGCTACGACGGCGAGCCCGCGACCCTGGCCAACCTTGATGTTGACTGTCTGGCACTTCCTGAGCGAGGTCACCGAGCGGTACCTCTTTTGGAACTGGATGAGCCAGCTGGCGTGGAAGTCACAAGGATCCTACAGGAGAAGCGCCTGCCAAAAGAGGAGGTGGAGCAGCGTAAGTTGAGTTCGGGAGTGAAGAAGGTTTTCACGGATCCTCGCCTTCGTAATCGCCGTGAATACTGCAAGCTGGTGAAGCGGCTTGAGGCGTGCGGTCTTATCGAGTACAGGACGCACCGCGAGGAGGATGTCGGTGTGTTCGCGGTCCACAAAAAGGATGGCAGACAACGTATGATCATTGATGCCCGATGGGCCAACTCTCACTTTGCTGACCCACCAGACGTCAAGCTGGCCACGGGCCAAAGCTTCGCCATGCTCGAGGTCGACGCAGGCGAGCCCGTGTGGCTTGGCGGAGTGGACATCGTGAACTGTTTTTACACGCTGGAGCTCCCGGCCGAGTTCCGCGGGTACTTCGCCCTTCCTCGCCTTCGCGCCCGCGATGTTGGTGGAGACGGTGATGGAGTCGTGTTTCCGTGCCTGAAGGTGATCCCGATGGGCTGGAATCAGGCGCCGATGGCCTGTCAGGTCATCCACGAAGCCATGGTGGACAAGATCGAAGGGATCTCGGCCGCCAACAGGATGTCCGACGGGGCCGAGGTGCCAGCCATGCAGCCGAT